ATGGCAGCTGTGCTACTGCGCAGATCAGAAGGAATTAAGTCCCAGGCAAAAGCCTGGTCAGCCTCACCTGGCTGCATGGTGAGAGCATGTCAGGACTAGGGAGGAAGCAGGCCAGCGCTGATGCAGGCAGAGAGGACCTTCCTCTAGGACAAGCAGCTCCTGCCGACACCAACACCCAAGCAAGAGCAACTGGGGATACCCCACCATGTTGGAATTTCTCCTTGCCATCTGTTCAGTCCAGCCTTGATCTGCTCCCAGAGAAGAAATAATCTCCCCGTGTCTGCTGGCTTACACAAATGCTGCTGCCCGGCCAGTGCAGCTCACACCACGGCTCCCTGCTTTCACTGCAGCAAATCCTCTGCAGACTGTGCTGGGGATTGCTGCCACACAGCAGCAGCAGCGTGTCCCAAGTTGCATGCCCACTCTAACATGTGAGTCCCAAGCCAAGAGCTCTGCAGACATGAACAAATTCAGTAGTGTTTCTTTCTAACCACAGCTTCCTGGTGTAGCAGCTCTGTTTTACAGGACTGAAGTTTTAGCTTTGCTTGGGGTGCAAGTGGTAGAGTAACAGTTGAAAATTAAACAACAGAAGGAAATTGCCCCATACCCAGAGGCTCCTGAGCAAGTCCTGGCCTCCAGAGGCCTGAGGAACGAGAAGAAAAAAAAATGCAGTGACTATCACTGACAAAAGGATCTACAGGAGCACAGGTCCCCATCTGCTCCAAGCTTGTAGGCGCTGGGGCAGTGCAGCAGTCACAGCCCACAGAGAGGCCCTGATAAATTCCTGGGCACAATCCCCTTGTCTGCTGAAACTACAACACAATGAAAGAGGTGACATGGTGGTAGTGCGGTTTGGTTGCTCCCAGCACATTTATCAGAACTACCAGGAGGAGGCACTAAGAGGCTTGGAGCCCTCTGGACCACCATATGGAGAGCCCCACAAGAATGGCAACATATAGCAGATATTTTCCACAGGGGGTCAGGACCTTGATTTGCCCAGGAACAGGCCAGCATGATGGTTACACTATATTGGCCACAGCTAAGTCCCAAGGCAGGTCTGGGTGGGCGGTGGGATGCTCTCAATGGGAATCCTGGGCCCTCCACTGAGTCGATCTTGACCTCTCTCACAGTCTTCCCAGGGCATCGAGCTCTGTTGCTCACTCCGTCGTGTGCCAGCAGCATGCAGCAACCCCTTCCCCTCCCACACTGCAACTGACGATGCCTGTCGGGGTCTTCTGGCTTTTGCCATCAGTCAGAAAACAAAGGCATTTGGCCCAAGGAAGTTTTGCATCGGATGCTGTGCTGAGCAGCCAGCTCTTCCCCTGGCTCCATGAATTTTTGGAACCACTCATGCATTTAGCCTCCAAACATCCCACAGCTTAACTCTGGACAAGCGCGGAAACCATCCTGCTGCCCCCAAGAACTTCCTTTTAATTTTTGTTTTGCTTTTACTTTAATGCTTGTCTGGTCAAAGGATTCTGTCCTCTCTGTACTGCGCAGTGTGAGCCCAGTACGAGGTAGAGCCTTCCCACACAAACCTCTCCCCCGTTGGTCTTGTCCCCACAGACTGATGCCTGTCACCCAGCCACCATGACCTATCACAAGCCTTTGCCAAATCTTTGCCTCAAGTGTTTTGCAGACCCCCGAAGACTCTCGCACCACCCACCGTGACCAATGATATGGTGATGCCCGAACCAGGTTGCAGATCCTGCAGGGCCATGATGGGGATAGCCCACCCAACCCCTTGGCACGTACCCCCACGGCCCCCCACCCCTGCTCACCTCCTCCAGGCTGTTGGCAGTGGCCTTGCAGCGGCCCATGTGGCTGGCAAAGGAAGAGGTGGTAGGCGAGCTGAGGTCTTCCTGTGCCTGCCGCACGAAGTCGCACACTGAGATGAGGGCTGCCATGGTGCTGCGGCAAGGTGGCACCAGGAAGGGGAACTGCCGGTGGGAGCCGCGGTCACGCTTGGGCTGGGCAGGGGTGGGGGGCTGGGGTCACGCTGCTGCCAGCAGCGAGGGCAAAGGGGAGCTCCTTGCCCTGCATACCCACACCCCACAGCGTGCATGCACACCGACACATGCCAGCACACCCAGGCACACAGCAGCACAGCTACAAATCCTGCAATTATATACTGAAATATTTTGAAGAAGCCTGAGGCTTTCGGTCACAGAGAGCCCCAGCCTGATGGTGCAGTGGAAAATGTAGCTGAATGTGGCTGCAAGAGCCAAAAGCTGCCTGGGGATGTGTGCTGGGGCGCGCTGAGCTTGCTGGCATAGGCCGGTCACCACTGAGGCACAGCAGCTATGCTGGGATGCACCGGGCACTGCTTGCGAAGGCTGAGGGCGACACAGCACTGGGAGCAGCACTGTCACACCCCAAGGTCCCGCTCCAGCCCCACACAGCTGCGACACGACCTGAGCCCTTTGCAGCCTGTTTCACTGCTCCTGGGTCCCCCGGGGGGAGAGAGGGCTCCCCCTTTGCCATTCTAGGCCCCTGCCCAGCAGCTGAGCCCCAGACCCCTGTGGGAGCACTATGTCTGCCCCACACGAGCACATGGCTTCAGGTCCAGCCAGAGTCCTCACCTGCTGTAGAATTATTGCTGCAGGTGACTTACAAATGAAATCTATATTTGTATTTTAAGGAAAGGTAAAGCTTCGAAGAAACTTTCAGGGCAGAGTGCAGGTGGTGTGCAAGGGGTACATTTCACAGAGGTTCCCTGGGCAACCTGAGATGTTGGTGACAGCAGGAGAGTCTGGTGCACTGACTCTAAGAGAAACGGCACAGGATATGGAGTGGAGACACCACAACCAAACTCTGTGGTAAAATGGGAACTTGAAGGTCTTATGGAACCCTTGAAGGTCTTATGGAACCCTTGAAGGTCTTATGGAACTGATAAGCTGTCTAATTGCTAGCCTGAGCCAACAATCTGTTACTTTTGACAAAATGCTATCATTTGGGTGAACTTTGCTCATTATAATGTCATTATAACACCAAAACTCCATCCCAAAAGCCACCCACCTCCAGGATGCAATCACACCTCATGGAGCCTGTGCTCTGAATTTTTTGTAGTCTATACCTTTAAAAGTGAAGCAAGAAAATTTTACACCAATCATAACAAAAGTATGTATGACTAGAGTCCCTCAAGCTCCACCTGAAAGGTAAAAAATAGTATAAAAATAGCTTAAGAGAGGAGGGATGTCAGGGAAGATACCATCATCACTGACAACCCCTGACTGCCGGGATCAAACAACGGGCTGAGCCTCTCTTCCCCCCCATAAGGATGCTTGTGGGTAAGATTCAAATACTTGGTTATATCGAGTGCTTCCCTGGGAACCTTAGAAATCTCTATAGAGTTCTTTTGTAACTTAACATGTTTGTAGCCAGGCTGTATTACTAACATCCTTAGTATTTGCACGTGCTTTGCAGACAGTAACTTTATCACGGGCAACCCAAAAGAGCTTGTGCATCTGTTGCTTCAATAAACTACACTTTTCATTAATCTAGCTGTGAGAGTTCTTAGTGAATGTGACCAAACTCCTTAAGCGTGGCCATGCTAGTTCATGGAACACTGCTAGACCAAATTGTGTATGGTGTTACTAGTACATCCGTAATCGTGATAGTTCAATATACATATTGAACGCGACCGGACTTCTAACACCGAATTAGGCATCACTCAGAATCTAAGCCCAGCCGCCCCCAGCCCCTCTGATATTTGAAGACAGAGTGGAATGCAGGGGGGTTTATTTTCTGCCAAATTACTTTGCCCTTTAACACAACACCTGCTCCTTACCTGCCTGCCTAGATCCGCCCAGCTATTTTTCTCCCCAAAACTTAACTCTATTCCTGCCCCATTCAAAGGGCAATCAGGCAGCCATCTTGACTATAAAAGCCCATTGTCAGTTAATTTCTTTGGAAATGCAACAGTCCCTCTGAGCATCATCTCCTGCACCAGAATGAGACCCCTCAGAAGGCATCTGTCCTGTCAAAACTTGGGGTGAAGCACCTCCACTTGAGATCAGATCACGTCAGGGCTTGTCTGTGAAGAAGACAGGAACCCTGGGACACTACAGACCATGCTGAGAACAAGTCTCATGTAATTTATGTCAGCCCAACACCACAATACTGATTCACGCTGATGGCCCTATGCTGATGTTACAGCGCTGTGCTATCCGGCAGGAAAGGCAAAGGGGCATCGTCAAGGACTGCCTGCAGCAGGCTGGCCCCTGGCTCCAGAAAGAAGCTACGGAACACAAGCAGCATTGGAGAGAGCAGCCAAGAAGCTTTTATTCCTATGGAAATCAAGAGCCAAAATGAAGTTTGAAGCAAGCCCGAATCTGACCCAGCAGACACAGAAGAGGCTGTTACGCAGCTTGTAAGGAATGACAACTAGTCTGTGTTCTGGGCAGTGCTACCACGTCCAGAGCCGACTCCAACTCCAGGAGCTGTTCCTGTGCTCTTGACATGGCAGGAAGCTGATGGATACCATGGTTCTGTCATCCTTCTCCCTAGTGAGCCCCATTCAAAGGTCTTCCAGGTCCTACCTCTGCCAGGACTGTACACCAGACCTGTGTTTCCCCTGTACAACGTGTTTTGAACTCTTCAGTCAAAGGCCTGGGAAGTGCCAAGTGCTGTCAAGCTGGGGCATGGATGGCTCTGTATGTCCCCATCTCTGCCAGAATCACTCTCAATGGCAAGAGCTGTTTTCAGCTGCCATGATTGTGGGGACAGCCCCAGCAGATTCTGTTTTCCCACCCTCCCAGTCCCACAAATACCTTTTTTTTCCCCCAAAGCTGTAACTGTCCTTCAAGGAGTTTGCCTTATTTAGTAGGTTGGTTACTTGGTTTCTTAGCATCTCACAGGTACTTAGCATGAAATGTGACTCCCCAAGTCTCTGACTCGGAAGGTTGCCTCTGCACCTGCAGGATTTCCTTAAACTTTCTGGTCCAGCCTGAATTCCTGCAATCACCCCTGTCTTTGAGTAGTCCTGTGCTGGAAAGCATTTATCCACTGATGATCTTCTCGCTGATGTATCCAGGCATAGTGTAGATCAAAAGAACCAGGAAGATGGTCAGAACAGCGACAATGAACAGCACAATGATGTATTTCTTGTACCGCTTCCAGATAAAGAACACAAAGGTCTTCATGGGATTCACAAACCAGTTGAAAGAAGTTTTTGGCCGGCTGGAACAGGAAGGAAAGAACAGATAAGCACAGGCTCCGTCCCCGGAGCAGCACATTGTCCCCTCTGCTTTGGTGCCCTAGCACCCTCGTGGGTTGCCAGCTCTTCCTGCTGCTTCCACACAGGATCACTTTAGGGGCTGCAACAACTACAATGCCTGTGAAAGCACTCAAGACAACAGGACCCCTGCAGAGCTGTTTTGCACCCATGCGGCTAACGGGTGCATTCACATGGTTAAACCAGAGCTGCCCTTTTTGCACAAGAAATATTACGGCATAGCTGCCTTGAGTACCTCACCAAGATCAGCCCTGGCCCAGATGCTGCAGCCACAAGTCCTGCTGGACCCACTTGAGCTCTGGGAAGCCCTGGCAGCCCCAGTCCTGCAGACCCCAGCATGCAGGGCCTCACTGATTGCTCTCAGCTTCCTGACAAGCAGATGATCCCTGTCCCCAAGCAAACAGTGGCTGAAAACATAGCACTGTCCATCCATGTTAAAGGTACAGATACTCACTTGGGCTTTTCCAGAGGTTCAGGCTCTTTTCGGCCCAAACCAACAGGACTTTTCTCAGCCTCCTCCATAGTCAGCAGCTGGAACTCCGCTTCCACCTTACCCTGGAGGGGGAACATATCTGAGCCACAGCCACACATGCTACTTCGCAGACCAGCCTGCTGACTGCACGCCCTGCCAGGACCAGTATTTTTCTCCCAGCTCCACTTACAGATGCTCAGAACAATTAACTTTTCCCTGCAGGCATTAGCTACAGAGCCTCTCACTTCAGCAGCCAGCAGAAACTGTGGCCTGGCCAGAAACTTACTGTTTTGCAGACAAGACAAGGTATTGTAATGTACTTCCCAGCTATCTGGATTTGTCTGCAGCCTCCTACACTGGCACTGACAAAAACTTAACCCTGGGGACAAACAATGGTCCATTAGCAGGGCCAGCAGCAGCAAGTCTGCCCTGGGAGAGTTGGCACCTGCCTGACTGGGGTAGGCAGAGACCCTAGAGCAAGTTTCGCTGCTGTCCTGTCTTGTTGATGGTGAGCCATCTGTTTCTGGCTTTGGTCCCTTCACTGAGCACTGCTCTATAGAAAGCTCAGAGGTTGGACACCCCCTGCATGCCACCGCAGCTGGCACTTCTGGGTAGATGAAGTGCTGGATTTGCAGCAGATGGGATGTCTCCAGGACCCTGCACAAAGTCCTGGGCAGCTGTGTCATTGCTGCCTACAGGTTCATGTCCATGCAGGACTGGTTGCCATGTCAAGGCAGAGGCAAAACACTGGATCTCTGCTCACCCACGCCAGCATCCTGCCTTACCGTCAGGAGGTACTTGTTCCCACTGGGGTCTGTGAACTCCACATCCTCTGGTTTGACCGAGCTGCTCCACTTCTTTTTCTTCTTCTTCTGCTTGTCCTCCCTCTCCTCTCTCTCCTTGTCTTCATGTTCTTTGAGTTTGATGAAGGGCCACCAGCCCCTCATCCGCTTGTTTCAGAAGACAGAGAAGCGAGGTGTTGCATTCTCCTTGGCCATCTTGATAGTGCAATGCTCTGAGCTCTTGGCTGCCCGCACCATGTCATGCAGCTTCAGCTCGATGGAGCCTGCAGGCACAGTGAAGAGAAGAGCTCATGGTGAAATCCTGAGGTCATCCCCACACACCATTTGGCTTTTTGTCTCAGACACACTCCCACCACCACGAGTAGGTCCCAGCTGCTGCAGAGTCCTGCACATTTACAGTTGGAGAACCTTAAGGTCAGCATAAGAAAGGATTAGCCTGAGAGTTAGAGACTAAGCAGCAGAAGCCACAGGTCTTGCCTCTGACGTGGCCAGTTTGGTTTGCATGCAGTACACTGGGTTATTTTCACTCCTTTACCATGTCCCACCCTGCTCTCCTCATGTGTCCAAGCTCCTCTTCCCCTCTCATTCCTGAAAATGTCAATAAAAAAAATTATAAAATCTGAGAAATTTTGTAAAGGTTTCAAGTCTGTCTTACATCTGAAACAGCCTCAGTTCATTTCCCTGCTTGGCCTCGAGCCCCTGTCCTCCTTGGAAGGAGCTCCTGTCCCATTTTGGCACTGAGTCCTTGCAACAAATCAGTCTTATCACGTACTGGTCTGTATTGGCAAAAGCATTGCCAGAAACCAAGGGATGTTGGTGTTCTCCTCTGCTCAGCTCTGGTGAGACTGCATCTGGATACAGTGCCCAATTTTGGGCCCCCAACACAAAAAAAGGTGTGAACTAACTAGAGAGAGTCCAGTGGTTGAGATGGTCAAGGCTAGAGTATGTGCCATGACAGGATGGGTTGAGAGACTCATGCACATTCAGCCCAGAGAAGAGAGGTCAAGGGAGAGATCTTACTGCATCTCTCACAGCCTAAAGGAAGCTATAGAGCAGATGGAGCTAGACTCTTCTCAGAAGTGGATGATGAAAGAACGTAAGGCAAAAGACACAAGCTGCTACAAGTGAAAAAACCTTAGAATTATGAGAATAGTAGAGTCAGGAAAAGCGGCCCAGAAGGGTACTGGGATCTCCATCCTTGGAGATACTGAAAACTCACTGAGACAAGGCCCTGAGCAACCTGACCTACATTGCATCTAGCCCTGCTTGGAGCAGGAGGTTGCAATAAAGACTGCAGAAGCCCCTTCCTGCCTAGAAGTTTCTGAGATTGTACATGCCAGGAATCATTGGGATTGCTGCCTAACACATTCTTCAGTGCCTAAGTAGCATGGCTGAACCAATCACCATTGGAAGTGCCTCATGGAGGCAAAGCCTTTTAAATACAGCATGGAGGGTTGATGAATAAAGACAGTTTTATCCTGCCCAAGAGACAGCAGGGCAAAGGGGCTGATTTTTAATGGGGAGGCCAAAGTTTGAAGAAGGGAGGTACAACTGAATGGAGTGCTACAAACATGAGGATGACAGCAGAAGCAGGAGAGAAGCAGCAGTGTTTGTGCTAGCATAGCATGGGCTGAATCACCGCCAGGCCCTGATGCGCGGCCAGCTCAGCACGTCTGGTTACTGGGAAGTAACTGGGAGCTCTGAGCCCCCAGCAATGGGATGCTACAACTCGAGTGCAAATGGTCTCACAGGTTGCCAATCCCTGTGCCCACAACATAAGCTCCTGGGAAAACTGCACTTTGGTCAAGTCTTTGGGATCTGCAGATCTAAATGAGAACAGTGAAAAATGAGCAAGTTTATCAGAAAGGTTGTGAGAAAGCAGAACATGGAAGTCTTGTGGTGTGACAGTCCCTAAAAAAAGGACAGCAAAGCCCTGGGACAAGCATGCAAGCTCAATGTGTCTGTGTAGGAGAGGTGTATATCTCCAGGCTCTGCCCATAGCTCACATGTGAAAAACCAGCTCAAGGTGACTGCTGAGCTGAAGAACTTGATCTGATGCTCCTGGTGTCCCTTCTCAGAGAGCTGGGCCCCAGGAGAAACACCATAACACTCCAGCAAGGTAAGGGACAGGTCACCCTACTTCCAGCAGGTCACATCATACCTAGAAAGTCATTAGCTGAAATCCTGTCATAATCCCAGACCTGGAGGACAAGAACAGCCGGTTCCCGGAACTCTGATTCCTCCACGGAGAAGACAGAGTCCTTCTTCTTGTAGGTGATCTCCTTCTCAGTCGGGAGATAGCTGAAGCGGAAGATGAACCTCCAGTTGAAATTGCCCTCCCCAGTCAAGGAGTTGAAGTGAACATCCGTCTCCTGCTTGTCATGGTCAAGACCCTTTATCCAGCTGCAGGAGAAATTCAGAAAGTCAGTTTCAAAAGAAACTCCTACCCCCTTGTCAGCCAACCCCAAAGGCAGAGCAGAAGGATGGAGGGGCTGAACCCCATGGGGTAGCAGGAAAGGAAGAGTCAAAGATCCAAACCGGACCAACACCTGACCAACGTCTTTGGTGGTACGGCAGTCTACGCAGGGGACTGGAGTGGAGCACCTCGTGCTGAGGCAGGGAGTACCAGAGATTCAGAGGAGGCAGTGGGGGTGCGGGGCAGGGCAGAGAGCAGGACAGCCAGGCTCTGGCCTCCCTCTGGGTCCCATCAGACCTTTTAACATAGATATCACTGGAAGGCTCTCCCGTTACTGGGTTGACATCATCAAGGATTACGTCATCTGTGTTCCAGATAATAACACGCAGCTCATAGCTGTGGGAAGGACACAAGGGTGAGTGAGACACATGCTCTCACCCCTGGTGCTTGGGAAGGCAGTTCAAGTCCACATGGGCAGAGCAGCAGGACTTGAACCCTCCTAGCACTGTGGTGCCCTGCCAGGGCTCCTCCAGCCAAGCACAGCCCAGCAGTCTTGCTGCCATGCACAAGACTACAGCCCCACAAGACAAACACCCACAGTCAAAACAGGCAGCTTTTGCAAATTAAGTCCCTGGTGCATGGGAAACCCACCCAGCACCACTTAGCCACAGAAGCACAGAAAGGCTTAGGCAGGAGGGGACCTCTGCAATCTCTGCTCCAACTTCTTGCTCTAACTTCATTGTAGATCAGATTGCTCAGGGTCTTGTCTGCATGATTTTTTAGCTTCTCTAAGGATGGATATCCCAGCACTTCTCTGGGTCACTCCGTCCCTAACCCAGGACCCAATGAGGGTCACTAATTGGGAAAATATTTTCCTTATATTCAGTTGGAGTTTCCCTTGCTGCAACTTGTGTCCATTATCTCTTGCCCTTTCATGCGCACCTCTGAGAAGAATCCAGACCCTCCATCTCAATAGCCCCATTATATCATTGAAAACAGATGATCGCCTTCAGCTTCACTTCTCTAAGCACCCAGAGGACATCTGTCCACTAGCCAAAATAGAGCTAAATGAGTAGCTCTGACCTGGGTTTCTATCACCTTCACATCCAGCCTTAAAGACATTAACCCTGCCCTTCACAAACACTTGTGCAGCTGAAGCGTTAAGCCCTATGCTGATACACCCAAAAGACCATCCCATGGCAAGAGCTGAAGCAGAGAGGAGGGATGCATGCCAGGCTAGCACAGACCATCAGCCTGTGCAAGGACTCCATGGCACATCCCACCACACACGACAAGGGACAGTAACCCTCCATGCAGGCTCACCAGCCCCAGCCCTGCTCCCATGGGTGCTACCTGATGGGTAGTCGTGGCTTGATATTGACAGGCGGTGGTGCAGGAATGTCATTTGGAAACATGTCAATCCACATGTGCAAGGAGCCCTGATGAGAGAAAACAGCAGAGACACTTCAAAAGACAGACCACCCTTTAGCTCCTCAAGGAGCAAGGGCTTGGTCCTGCAAGGAAAGCTCTCACCAGAAAGCCACTGCTTGGCTCTCTCCATCCCCAACACTTCAGAGTGATGTGTGACTGGATTTTAGATAGAGAAAAAAATAAAGCTATCAAAAAGTGCTTATTTCCCTCCCCACTGCGCTCCCAAGAAAAAACATTTCAGCTGAACTAAGTTCATTTCAAACAGAGGCAAACATGGCCCTCTGTCTTAACAAGAAGCATATGATGATGTAACACTTCAACATAACCAAGAAAACTAAACAATGATGGGTCTGACCCACATGCATTTCCAATGCCAACCAAAGCCAGAGTGACTGCAGAGCTCTGCTTTGTTACAGACCTCCTGTACCCGAAGGAATAGGGATAGAGCGTACCATCAGCAAGTTTCCAAAACTGGGAGGGGTGGCTGACATGCCAGAAGGCTGTGCTGCCTTACAGCGTGAGCTGGACAGGCTGGAGAGTTGGGCAGAGAGAAACCTTATGAAGTTCAACAAGGGCAAGTGTAGGGTACTGCACCTGGGGAGGAATAACCCCATGCAGCAGTACAGGTTGGGGGCTGACCTCCTGGAGAGCAGCTCTGTGGAAGGGGACCTGGGAGTCCTGGTGGACAACAGGATGACCATGAGCCAGCAATGTGCCCTGGTGGCCAAGAAGGCCAATGGCATCCTGGGATGCATCAAGAAGAGTGTGGCCAGCAGGTCGAGGGAGGTCATCCTCCCCCTCTACTCTGCCCTGGTGAGGCTGCATCTGGAGTACTGTGTCCAGTTCTGGGCTCCCCAGTTCAAGAAGGACAGGGGTCTGCTGGAGAGGGTCCAGCAAAGGGCTACAAAGATAATGAGGGGATTAGAACATCTCTCATATGAGGAAAGGCCGAGGGACTTGGGTCTCTTTAGTCTACGGAAAAGAAGATTGAGGGGGGATCTTATTAATGCTTACAGATACTTAAAGGGAGGGTGCCAGGGGGATGGGAACAGTCTTTTCTCAGTGGTGCCCAGTGATAGGACGACGGGTAATGGGCACAAACTTGAACATTGGAAGTTCCATCTTAACATGAGGAGGAACTTCTTTCCTGTGAGGGTAGTGGAGCACTGGCACAGGCTGCCCAGAGAGGTTGTGGAGTCTCCCACTCTGGAGACATTCCAAACCCGCCTGGACGTCATCCTGTGCAACCTGTTGTAGGGGACTCTGCTCTGGCGGGGGGGTTGGACTAGATGATCTCCAGAGGTCCCTTCCAACCCTGACCATTCTGTGATTCTATGTTCAGTGTAGGACATTGAAATGGTTAAGCTCAGACCACTGAACTGTGTAAAACTGAGGAGAATATTTCTCCTCCAGCCAGCAGTTACGTCATGCCCCAGGGAGAAGCCAAGGGCGCAGAATGGGGCTCTTGCAGGGGAGAAAAGCAGCACTGTTAGAGGACAAAGCAGAGGAAGAGACAGGGATAGGCAAGGACACTACTACCCACCATGGTGCATGGTGGCAGGGCTCAGAAGGCAGAGTGGGTCCTTTGCCACCCACACAGCATCCTCATCAGAACAGTGCTACATGGCCTGAGGAGGCAAGAACCATTCTGGCCCACCAGCATTGTGACCACATCAGTGGACAGAGGTCCCTTGAGGAAAGGGAGTTCAGAATCACTGTGAGAGGTCAGAGGGTGGACCTGAGCAAAGGACACCCAAGACCAACAGTCCTCACTTGACAGCAGGGCCAGCCATCCACAGACAGAGCTCCAGTCGCCCACCCAGGAAGGGGCAATGCATGGGATTCATGCCATGATGAGGAGACAAAAGGATAACAGGGGACCAGCCAGGGGGCTGTGAAACAGCTGTCCTGAAGGTCCTTACCCAGAGCAATGTCTAGGCTGGGCAAGGAAATACATCTCACCTGCGCAAGCCCAGGGTTCTCCGGGTTGTACAGGGACCGGATCTCCACATGCTCTGGTACCAGCTTGTACCCATATCCCGGCATCTCTTCCCAGTGCTGCAGGACGTACAAAGCCTTATGTTCATCATCCACTGACCAGTCCTCATCTGCCACTCCTCTCTTGTTCCTCACAGATGCTTCTGCAGCAGGACACAGCCAGGCACAGAAGATGAAGGCATCTGGCCAGCAAGAGCCACATCAAGGATGTTAGTCACAGGGACAAGTAAGAAAAGGTGATGGACTGGGCAGACAAGCACCTCCCCAGAAAAACAAAATGGGGAGAAGCAGGAGGGTGAGGATGAAAGGAATGAGTGATGAGGAAAACTGTAGGCAGGAAGACAAACAAGCTAAGAGAAATAAGGGGAAAAGGGGGAAAAAGAATTTACTATGGCCCTGGGAAAAAGATCCAGGGGACACCGAAGAGGATATGTCCCTCTGGGGCAGTTTAAGTCCCCATGTCTCTGTGGTAGTGCCAACAGATCCATGGATGAGAGGTTTTGCCCTAGAAATGCTCCAGGAAAGCACCACTTGTCACTTGGCAGTGACACATAGCTGTGCTCTCCATTAATTAACTCATTAAATCCATTAATTGACTCATTTCGCACAGTGAAACCAAATGGCCATTCAAGACCAAATCCCGCCATTGCAGAGAAAAGTGGGAACCAACAGGTGAGGACACAATGACCCACCCACCCCTGGGTTTATAGAGAGCATCTTTGGGAGATCCGTCTGAGATCTAAACCATCCTCAGCAGTCCCTGAGCACAGCAGAGGTTCACGGGGCACCAACTGCAGCCAACTCTCAGGGGAACACTAGGAAAACACTTTATTTCTCCCTTCCCAGCTACCCAGTGACCTGAGAAAAGGGGAAAGGGGCTTTTGGAGGCTCCTTGCCCTCTTCTGAGCAGCATTTCTTTTCCCTTCGTGACATAAGCCATAGAGGCCAGCAGAAAGCTGAGGAACAGCAGCATTGAAATGACCAGAAGGTAAAGCTGGCCATACACATAGATCCCCCCCTCTCTGGGCGGGTCTGGCACAGGGATCATCCTTCCTATAGGCTACAGAGCATTGCCTTGCAGAACCCAGCCATGCACAAGTGGGCCTCATCTGCTCCATCCTTTCCTCCAGGCTGGATTCGATTGCACAGGTGTTGGGCACAGGAGCGAATGTGCACAGCAAGGACAGGCCTGTGCTCAGGGAAGTTCTCCATCACTGCTGGCAGAGGGCATAAAAGGTTGCTGTGTTCTTGTACATCCGTGGCCCTGGCTCAGTGTTTGTAGCACCAGTGAAGGAGGAAAGAAAAACAGCAAAGGAGAAGCAGAAGCTGCCCACAGGAAGGAAATCAACAGTAGTGAGAAGCAGTGGGGAGTCACCCAAGGCACCCAAAGCCACCAGAAGCAGACAACATCCCTGAAGGACAAAGCCATCTAAAAACAGGAAAGGAGACTGAAAAAGCACCACACCATACCACCATCCCCCCCCAAAAAAAAAAGGATACCAGTATCTTGCTGACAGTGGTCACAAGTAGATGGATGTACAGCTTTGTGCCAGTGGCAGCCACTAGAATAAGCTACACCTTTCTGTGGCTGCACAAGCCATCAAGCTTCCATGCAGATCACTCTGTGCATGTAGGTTTACTTTGCTCCACCCACTGCCTGGGAAGCCACTTTGGGACCTAATGGCCTGGATCACATCTTCCCCCAGTGCAACACTGCCATCCTCTGAAACCAGACCACTGAGCACCAAGGATGCTCCCCATGGTGACCCAGAAAGCTAGGCCACGCAGGGCACAGAGTGGGGGCAGCCAGCCTGGGCACTTCAGGGAAGAGAAGCTGGTGGGTTCCCAGACCTCTCTCCAGCACACGCACTGCTGAGCACAGGCAGCTGTTTAAGGGAGCAGTTATTGTTCTCCAAGCCCTTTGTACCTTCAGGAAAAGCCTCTGGAGGGATCTTGAATATTTTATTGTCCACTTTGACCTCCTCCGGTCTGTACTCTGCTGCAGGGAGTGAGTTTTTCTTGCATAAACTATCCAAGATCTGTGTGGGCTTGAAAGCATCTCGCCACATGTTGTAGCTGTCTCTGCATAGAAGGGAGAACACTGAGAACATCTTCAGCTTAGACACAACAGGTATTTTTCCTAGGCTGTGAAACGTCCTGCCTTCCCTATAGTAGAGGCTATGCCACCAGATCGCTGCTCAGATTTTCACTGGGAACACCACAGGCACACAAAAGCTTACTCAGTGAAAAGCTCAGGAAGCTCTCCTCCCCCAAAACAAGCCAGGCTTGCACACCACAGAACCATTAGCTTCAGAGCAGCAGCAGGAGCAATTACAGCTGCAACTCCTAAGTAGGAGAGAGGTTTCAGCAGTGCTGGGGACTCAACTCCATGCCCACAGCTAGTTCTCCAATAGCAGCGTAGGAGAAGAGAAGTTAACAGAAAAATGGCCAAAGATATCAGAGAATCCATACTGAAGGAGGCCAAAAGAAAACAGATGTCATGCGTCCTGCTGCTCACAGAACTAGTTACTGCCAGAGAAACCGCCCTACTTTCTGAAAGAGGTCAAAATCACATCAATGTCAAGCGAGTGCTTTTCTCACAGAACACCAATATGAAAGCATTAAATAATTTTTTGCTACGATATGCAAAATATATTAGTCCATGGTAGGAATTAGAGATACCACAGGACGGTGGTAAGAGTCTAAAGGAGATGGAGTTATCCATGTAACTTGTAGTGAACCTGTGGGGCACGTGCTCAAAGAATACTGTGAATGCCAGCTCCGTCCTGCAGAACTGACAGTGCTCCGTTACCCACTCAAACGGTAGGCAAGAATACATCTTGTCGCCCTAATGTATCACAGTAGTACGTACATGTCGTACTGAGAGGCCACTCCACAGTTGGCCCTATGCTTGCTGTAGAATCGATTCTCCAAGTCAATCTTGGTCTCTCCAATCAGATCATCAGATCCAACCAAATCATGGTCAAGTATTGCCACAGTGAGTTCTGATTCCACGGGAAATGAGACTGTCAACTCCACAACTCTGGACAGAAGCAGATAGGGTGAGTGCAGTTAGCAAAGAGGATGGAAAAAAACCATATACTCTGCTTTGATCATCCTACACATTTAAGAACTTTATTTGACAACTCAAAGACCTCTCAAAGAGTTTGGTTCTCCACACATTCAGTGTGTGCAGTTTTCAGTGTGCACATTCAAACAAAGGAGTTACTCTTCCAGGAATGCATGCCCTTGGATAGAGGTCCTGGAGCTAGGGAAAAAGCTCTCTAATGCTCTGTTGCTGCTTGGCTTGATACTTCGTCTGACAAAAGCTTAGGGAGTGCTTCCCTCCTAACCCAAAACACTTATGGCTCCTGTGTCAGCCGGAGGCAAGAGACGTGCCTGGGAGCTTTGTGTTACAGCACAACATTCTCCAGCAGAAAGGAACGGAAGACCACACATGCTGGCCACAGCCTGAGCCCCAGATTTGCACTATTCCTATTAAACCTGCTAGAAGAAAACTTCCTGCATACTCTCCAAACACAGGATTGAGCTGCTTTGGGATGTATCGCTCCTTTGTGTTCTTCTGCGCCTGTCCCACAGTGACCACCACATAGGGGTCTGCCTTGCCATTGGGGTCTGCTGGAGACAGGTTCGTAGCCTGGAATACACAAGAGGTACTACCATACATCAGCTGCAGAGAGCAACCTGCACAAGGAACACTGCACAGGCCCAAGACACCCTAAGCCTGCTGGTCAGGTCCCTCCAGCAGCTGCCCCAGCAGTGGAACAGGCACTTGTTCCCACACAAATCCCCACCCATCAAGCCACCAATGTCTCCAGCTGTTGGCCCACCTACTTGCTTACTGTCTCAAGACAGATGAGAGAAGCCGAGAAATGCCCATCTGGATTTTTAGCACCTCATGAAGCTACAAAGCATGGAAGCCACTGCTCGTATTTACTAAGCAGAGAATGGCAGGAGGTCCACAGGGAGGGACAGACCTCCAAGCATTACTGCTACCACCACCAGAGACTTACCTTAACAATGTAAACTCTTACAAGAACCTTGATGGGTCTGTTCCTTGGAATGCCCTGGGACACCTTGGGCTCCATGCCAGCTTCCTCAGTGGGGTAGACATAAAAGGAACCCTGCAGAAAAGACATTGCAAGTAACAGCTAGATGCTAAAAGAGACTATCTCAGATGGGATTGGAGCCACCAAGACCAGCTTCACCTGCCGTCACCAAAATCAGAGCCATTGCTCCATGCAGACCACAGACACCCCTGGAGACAGTCCTTTCCAAAGGCACTGTCCTGTCCAGATGGCCCAGGCAGTCCCTGTTTGCAAGTTAGGCTGCAGGCTGTCAGACCACTGCCAATGCAGAAGATCTGAACATCTTCAGGCACTTTGGACTGCCAAAGGCAGGAAGCAGCAAAGGTTTTCTAGGGACCTTCTCAAATCAACTTCTGCAGTTGATATTTCAGAGTCTTCAAGAGCTTCTGGGTAGGATGATGCCTCTTTTAAACAAGTTTTACTAATTTTAAAACTAGTGAAGCTCACTAATACTTATTTGCATACTGAACATACCCAGAGGCCCCAACCAGAATAAGAGTCCTTTATGCTTCATGCTTTCTCCTTGCAAGAGCTAAAAAAAAAAAATCTAAATCAGGGGCATTTATCAACTAACAAAAGACCACAGTACACAATTGCTTCAACAGGCACCAAGAGTACCCTGCCCATGCTGCACCATGGCCTCACATCACCTTGCACACACATGCACTCTCCAAGGCTTTGCTGGTGTCAGCATGCTCTGAAATACAGGTTGTCCTAAGGATTTTTTTTCCACACACAGCAAAAATGTCATTGAAGTTATATAGTACCTTGTACTTCCCCAGAAAATGTTCATCCTCATTTCCATCTTCATCCTCATTTGCTTTGCCACGATGAAGGGGGAAAATACACAGCCAGTCTTCAAAATTATCAAACTCATTTTCCAGCTCAGAGTTGTAGATCTGAAATAAGTAGAAAGTAATTTGGGGCCTTTTTCTGCTCTCTTAAAGGGGAGGAGAGTCAGAAAGACCATCCTTTCCCTGCTTCAACCATTTCACCTGGTGCTACCTGACCTCTGTATTAGTAAGTGCAGGGTGTTATGGTTTTCCTTTATCCTCCCAGGTCCGTCCTCAGATGTGCACACACATCCCAGTTTGGCTCCAAGGTCTCACTAGCTGTTTTAAAGCCCGGCAACAATGTGGGCCCAGCACACACTGCAGGTTGGAAAAGGCCAGATCTGTTACCCGAATAATCACCTGAAGGGTGGCGATGAGTTTCCTTTTGGGTCGATCAGGTTCAGCTTCAATTACTGCCTCATCTTCTGCTTCCATGTCAATGGAGGATACATTTAAATTCCCCTCATCTAGAAATGGCAATAGGACATTAGAAAATGCTCTGATCTCTCCCAGCATCTCAAGTTCTGTCCATGAAATGAACTCAGCAACAGCTTTCGCTTTCACCCAGGGCTTTGACTTGCATCAGGGTAACCGGAGCTATCACTGTCTGTAACAGGTGTCCTTATGGCATCTCAGGTTTCCCAACAAGGCATGGCTGGACGGGTGGAGTGGGACAAAAATTGGCACAGATTTGCCTGCCTGCATGGCCACTGTTTAGGAAGGAAGTGGGCAGAGACCAAATGGAGGAAGGTGGCTCAACCAGCCCACAGGTGCTGTCAGGGAAGGCACAAATGATAGCTAACCCTCTTCTTTGGATGAATGCTTATTTGTTGGACTGCTGGTTTGGGTGGACGTCTAACTACCACTTTGCGCACAGGCAACTGTGCATGGAGAGAGCACAGCTAGACCTTTCTCTGCGACACCAGCAACCCAAGGACAGAGAGGGTGCTTCCTTGCCCCGTTTCCCAAAGACCCCAGATCTCTTGAGCACTAATAGCATGCAGGTACCCTTCAGCTCTCTCCTTAAATAGGATTTATATCATTTCTATACTTACTGTCTCACCTCCCCAGGTCATTGCTAGGCGAGTCGCTGCTTACACCTCCGCAAACCTGAGCCTACAACTGCAACACTGTTCTCAAATCATCTGTTTATTATTACTGTCTTTCTCTTACCTTGTAGTGACTCCTGTACCTCAAGTGAATATCCCACATGCACACAGTGATACCCAGCTACTGGACAGTTTTGCCTCTCCACCATCCTTTCTCTCCATCCCACCTTTGCTTCCTGCTCTCACCCTGACAATCCCGTGATCCTTGCAGCTGATTTTTCTGCAGGTTTTTGCTCACTCAGGAAGGCTCTTGCTTCAACACAATTTTCCAAACTTTTACAAGGCAAGTTTGGTGTTTCCAACTTGAAATAGCCTTTGTTAGCCCTTGCCAATGTTTCCAGTCTCTCTGCTCCCTCTTGTGTTGTTTTTGCTGAATGTTGCAAAGCCATTGCCTGGTCAGACCCCATTCCCACAATGGGATAATGTAAGTCCTGGCTGTCTGCACAGAAGAGTTGGCTATTGCTAGAGGACTCACTATGACTCATCATTCATGTCATCATTCTCAGCATCTTCCTCATCACTGCGTGTCTGAAACACACACAAACAGTCACCCCACATCCCTGGCAGCAACGGCTTCTCCATCCATGCATAGGACACTGTCAAAGCTTTCCTGACAGCAGAGTCAGTAATACCTAGCCTGAGATCATTTAGCATTAACATCATTGCAGGAGGGTATCCAATGAGTGCATTAATGACTTTTTCTTCTCCACAGATCTTCCTACTAGCATTTTTGACTGGGATTTAAGCAACACAGGGCAAGGAAGGAGATCTGGGGCAGATCTGCTCCCATAGCACATCCTGGGAATACAGCCAGAACAGAATAGCACCATGAAAGCACCTGCACTGCAGCTAAAATCAGCAATGTTCCATTTTCAGGAGCGCCTCAACAAAAACTCAAAACCACTTGGGCACCTAGACTCAGGGATGTTTCAACACCCACTCCCTGCTGAATTCAGTCCACCTGGTGGATGTCCAATACCTGGCTACTTTAAGTGTTCTTGACACACAAAAGCTCACATGTTCCTGCCAATCCATGCCAGGAGGACTCCTACAACACTCAGCGCTGTTGAAAACATCTTCCTCAAGCCAGTGCAGCCACTTTTCCCCTATGCTGGCAACCGTCACAAAAGATTACCTGGTTATACAACTCCTTCAGGGACTCGTAGTACTTGGACCACCAATCCAGTTCTTCCAGGTCTGGTTTTTCCTCTTCATAGTCATCCTCCTTCTTCACAAGCTTATTGATAGGAATTTTCTTCAAAGGAACCTTAAAGGAACAGAGAAAAGGATTCAGAGGGAGGAAACAACCACCCAGGGCACCCATGCACCCTACTCTAGTGCCCTGGAAGCCTCTGGCAGAGGCTCAGCTTTCAGGCAGAGCACAGGAGGTGTAAAGCTACCTGTAGGCCCAGGTTTGTGCTTTGCTACAAAAGCAGCAGTTTTCAAGGCACAAGGCAACACAGTTCTCCTCCATGTGCCCAAGCCCAGACACTCAGCAGCGCTGATGAACAGCCAGGGGAGAGGAGTGTTTGGGTCCAGAGCAAAAACTGATGGTTGAAACCCAACTCCGAACTCCTAAACTTTCTTTTTTATGTGTAACCTTCATTTTGGCTTTCCAGACGTCAAAATTTGCTGGGCCCTACACATCACTCACCTTCACAAGACTCAGGGGGTGAGTGCTGGGACCTGGGTCACCAGCTGGCATGCCAATGTTTACCACAGTTTGAGAGGGAAGACGCTGGGATGAGACTTTCCAAGCTGAGATGAAAAGAAAGAGCTTCAGGTTTCTATGCATTTATTTCTGCCTAGTGCTTCCTACTTTTTGGCCAGTTGTTATTCCACAAGAAAACCCTCCATGTTACGCTTTAAATTGCCCTTTGTGATCCCCAAAGAGGGATGCTAGCCCTTACACAGCACTCCATCGCTCGGCTGCTGCTGCTTCCCAAGCTCCAGTCTGGAGCCAAGTGCTACAGACTAGGACGACAACCTGCCTCCAACCCTAACCTGCACCACACTGTGCATCATATGGGTCTCAGGAAAGGACTTTGCTGCTTGGCTAGGAGGGAGAAGGGCCAGGGATCTCTGCCACTAGCAGAACCTGTCTGCTGCCTCCACAGGAATCTCATCCATCAGCTCACCTTTGTGTGTGTCTTCTGGTTCCTCCTCCAGCTCTCTGGGAGAGAATTTCATCACATCAGACACAACATGGGTACCCACCAGCACCATGCGCCCAAACGCCCGCTTTTCCACCACGAAGATGCTGAGGGGAGGGTGAAGGTAGACCTGCTCTGGGAGCTCCTGCAAAAGAACCACACCCAGGATTCGCAGAAGCAAGGGTGATACCTGTGCCACCACATGCCAGGGAGGTCTGACGGCACCTTGCAGCTCTGTCCAAAAACCAAAGCCTTGCAGTGACAGGCGACAGCTGAGACTGCTCTTGGTGGACAATTTCACAAAGGCTTTGATCTGCAGCTGAACCATGTGGCCACGGGAGAGCAAAACCCCAGGGTCAGCTCCTCCCTCCTTGCCCCAAGCAGACAAGCAGTGCATGGGTGCAGGACGGCCACAGTGCACCCTGGCATGGCAGGACCCTCCTTCCCACTCACCACATCCATGTATTTGACCAGCTCAGTGAAGTTGGGGTTCTCTTTGTAGGCCATGATCACCTCTGACTCCACCTTCTTGCCAGCACACTTAATGATCACCTGGGGCTGATCCACCTCAAACAAGTTCACCCGTTTCAGGTTCCGCAGGCCCCAGAACAGGATCTGAAGCACAACACAAAGCCACCGGGCTGCTTGAGACATGCCAGGCATGGCACAGCCATGCAGCCTGCAACCCTGCTGGTGTTGCTGCCCCCCTCACCCTGCAGGACACAGACCCCAAGAGAGGCATAAGGCCACTCTGCCAACCCAGCCACCCAACACCTCTGGATGTTAAACTGCTGAGTCGGTTTCTCCCTCAAGTACCTCCATTTCTGGTGTCTCCTCGGTCCTTAAAGGCACATTTGAGCTTGTTGTGGTTTGACAAGCCATTTGCCACTCATTCCCAAACCCGACTCCCTCCCCAAGCCCTGCCCTCTGCACATACTAGCTGTGCTGTCTGCTGGGGACAGTCAAGTGGGGAGCCAGCCCAGTAGAAGGCAGCGTACCTCTATGCGAAACTCCTTCAGCACTGGGCGGATGCCCTCAGGGATGATGAACCGTCCAGCATGGGGGTCTCCCAGGTAGTCAGGCTCTTTGGGCTCCACGTCCTCAGGCACCAATGGCTGAACAGGTGGATCCAGGGCACACCAAGCAATGAAAGCCATTTCTACTCCATGCCACGCCCCCTCTCCCTCCCCTCTTGATCTGTGCTCACAGGCTCTGTCCCTGCAGCCTCCCTTCAGTTGAAAGCCAGATGTGGCTTTCAACAGGGAATCCTCTGGTGAGCCCCGTGTAACCAGGTCCTCACCCACACAGCTCTCCCCAGAGAGCTGCCAACCACGTGCAGCTTCCTACAAGCCCATTACCTCCAAACAGCCACTATAATCCAGCTCAATCAGCTCAAAAGTGGCAATGAGCTCTCCCACTGCTTTGGTGCCTTTGTAGAAATCGAAGAACTGCAGGGCAGGTTTGGTGTATGGCTCATCAACCAGCTTCACCTGCAGGACAGCAAAGGCCTGGCCGAGGAACTCAGGGGTGTCCTGCAGGAAAGAGGGGAATGGATCAAAGCATACCTGCGTTATTTCCCCACCTCAGAGAAAAGACCACCACTAATTCCAGCCAATCTGGGACAGCACAAGACCACTTGCCATCCTTTGCTTTGATTTCCTCTCCATCCAGAGCTAGGAGCAGATGAGACACACCTGCAGCAGTTCCTCTTAACTCCCTGTCTACCTCCATGCAGAACTAGGCAGACAGCCTCAGACCACACACCAGAGGACATCAAAGATAGATCAGGTTGCTCAGTCTCCTCCAGCCAGGTTTTGAATGTCTCCAAGGATGGAGATCCCACAAGCTCTCCGAGCCCCAGGTCCAGCATTTGAACTTCCTCTGGGTGAAAATTACTTCCTTATAGCAATTTGGATGTTTTTCTTGTTCCAGGTTGTGTTCGTTGCTTGTCATCCTGCCCCTGGGTACCTCCCAGAGAAGTCTGACTCTACCTTTTTCACCCTCTCCCATCAGGCAGCTGCAGGCAGCAATAAGACACTGCCTTTGCCTCATCTTCTCCAGGCTGGATATACCCAGCTCTCCACCTCCCCTCATTCTGTCCTTTGCTCCAACCCCAGCCATCTTGGTGGCCTCCTCTGGACTCACTCCAGTATGTCAATGCCTATCTTGTACTGGGACCCAGGAAATGGACCCAGGAAAGCTGCTGAGCTACACAGGAGAATCTAGTGTGAGTTACGCCATTCCCCTTACAATAAGAGGCCCCAGGAGAGAGTGTGACTTCAAAGTACTAATGAAGAGAGAAAAGAGAGGACTGAGGAGGGATGGAAGATGACACCTGAGGAACAAAGGGGAAAGTAGCCTTAAGAGCTACATCGTCTCCCCCTGGCTACCAGCCTTCTGCAACATGAGCCTGCTGAGGAAGTGAGGCAGGCAGCTGGGAGAGGCAGAGTGCTTCTCCAAAGAGGAGAGATCCTGGATCCTCCAAACACTCATCAGGACCTGACTCAGGGCATTTCTGAGCCATCTGCACACTGCAGCCAGAAGCTTCACCCCAGCTTATAGCAGAAGTCTGCAGAAAGACTGTCTCATCCACAGCCCCCCTGAGTCCCCACCACCACTGGACCAGGATCAAGCTGAGTCACGGAAACCAAACAGAGATGTGGCTCCTAAGTGCCCACTCGCAGCACCCACACAGAGCTCCTCTGCATTCCTTGTCCTTGAAACAACAGCAGGAGGGCAGTATGGCCATACTTACAAATTTATTGTGGCTGAAAAGATTGATTATAATGATGGGGGTCTCTGTTTTCAACTCTTCTTTTTTCCCATCAATAATGAGCTGGTCAAACACAAGTAGCTCGTTCCACATGGGGCTCAGTGTCTCCTCCAGCATCTGCAGGCAGATACAGGAGGCCTGAGTGTACCACAGCCAAACCACATACACTTTGTAAAGAGAGTGAGGAAGCATGGGTTGATCCTCTCCCTCACGCAGCCGCATGCAGCTGGTACCTGGCAGGAGGGGAGATGGTAAAAGCACGAAATCAGCACTTGGGGCCAACTTGCACATGCCAATCAAACTTTGAGACCATGCTCAATAATATATATGTTTTGTCAAATGTTCCCTGAACACAGTCACACTGCTCAGAGCACACAAATACCTCATGCCTGTAGTTACAAAATTTCCAGGACTGTCACAGCACTGGCCTTCAACATACCAGTAAGGACATGATGATTTTTCTCTCCCCAGGTCCCCAAGATGGCAGAGGCAAGAGTTTAAGTGGTCTCACCCTGGTGGTTTGGCAATGAGTCGAAAACACCACTCTTGCAAATGGATCTGAAAGGCCATTGTCATCTGCAGGGAGGATCCCTCGAGCCTGATACAGATGGGCTCGGAGCTGGAAATAGCTGAAATCTGGTAAGAGAAAGAGAAGAGAGGTCCCAGTTCGCCAGTCCAGCCCTGCGTGAGGCCAAAAAATGCATGAGGAAGAGGGCCAGGTAGGTAGGAGTGGGTACATCCTGCAAGGAATGGGTACCACTTCTAGGTGCACTCACTGTGGTTTTCAGAAGGCCAGCACATCTCAAAAGGTTTGGCCAAGCAAGACAAGCTCAGCAGGCTTCCCAGATACCTCTGGGAAGTACATGACGTGAAATGTGCAGCGATCTGCTGTGAGCATCTGTTGTGGGGGAGCACCACCAGGCCTCAGCAAAGGGGCGGACCTCATGCCCATTGCCAGTTTGGCAGCACATTCGGTGCCTATGAAGCACCCATCCTGCTTGCTGCTCCAGCTGTGACTGTGCAAACATGTCCTCATGAGAACAAACTGGACCTGCCTGTCCCAGTCATACCTTAGAGATGACATGGAGATGATCAGGTCCTACTCCTTGGACACTGACCCTGGGGCAGGACCTCTCACCTCTGCTCCTCTGCTCACAGTTAAGCCAGGGAAAAGCGGCATCTGCACTCACCATCCCTGCTGAGCCAGCTGGGAGGACTGTACGATGAGAGTTGGGCTATCTCCTGTCCACTCTCAGAGAGGTACTTGAACTCCTCAGGCAGCTCTGCCAAACAGTTCTTCGCATATTTTGTTACCCCAAGCCACATGTAGATTTCCAGTTTGGCAAAGATCTCACCTGTGTGTAAGCCAGCGACCTGAAAACACAGAAGGTTTAGCAGGTTTCCCATCTCAGCCATTCCCCCTTCAGACACAATGATGTCCTGGTTTGAGGTAAAACGGGACCAATTTTGTTCAGTAACTTTACTTCTTAGCTGGGCCTCTTCTAACTACTGAAATTAACAGCATATCATGCAGACAATGTTCACTCTCTCAGAGTGATAAGACCTATGTTTATAGCTGATGCCCAGGCATAGGATGCAGAGAGGCTCTTGCTTATACTTATTGCTATAACACCCAAGGCCAACCAACTTTGTTCTTTGCCCCGTTGGATGGTCAGAAGCGGAAAAGCATAGTGGGGTCCCACCTGCGGGGAAGAGCAAACAAGACAGGTGACCCAAAAGTGACCAACAGGGTATTCCATCCCATCTGCCTCATGCTCAGTATAAAAGCTGAGGGATCAAAGGGTCAGGGCTCTTCATTCAATGGCCAGCGTCCAAGGAGGACTCTGTCTGTCTGTCTTTGATCCCAATACAGAATCCAGATCCGGAATCCAGTTCCTGTCTGTCACTGAGTCCTGTCTGGGACTGCCCCAGTGCCAGCCGGTGACATGAGTGTCATCCTGGGAGCTTGATACAGTTTTGTATATATTTCATTATTTCTTTTTATTTTATTATTTATATTTCATTAAAGTAGTTTAGTTCCTTCTAAACTCATAAGTCTCTTTTTCCCTCCTCTGCCTCTCTCTTTGAAGAGGGGTAGAGGGGAGCACCTGTCAGTCCCATCTGGGGTTCCCCACATCCCCAGAAGCTGATTCAGCCTAAACTATGACAGATGATCACCATCAGTCAGTGACTGACCAAAGAGCACAGGAGACAGAGCACCGCATTGGCAGAGGCAAAAGGCAGTGGTGGAGCAAGAGCTTTGTTTCCTCATGAACTCCAGGATTTCAAGAAGGAGGACTGGAAGCAAGGAGGGAGAAGCAGCGTGAAGCAAGCAAGAGCACATTGTTTTGGTATAAACCCTACCTTCATAAAGACAGTCTGGATCTTCGCACAGTCCTTGCCTTTCTCCTTTTCGACTACCGAGTAGAGGATGTTCTGTGCAGGAACTCTTGCATATGCCACACGCCTGTTGTTGCAGAGCATCCAGACAAGTACATCAGGGAGGGTGCACTGGGGCTGGAAGGAGGAAAGAGAGGAACGTCACAGCAGAGGAACAGCGCATATCTTGTCCTCCATGCACTGACACAGCAAAAGCTTTGTCTCCTCACAGGAGAGACTGCTGGCTGCACAGTGCTTTGGAGATCCAGAAGCAAATGAAGGGCCCAGCATTGGGCACACACTTCTGAAAGTCTCAGCCCTGCAATATGGCTCTGCAGGTTTCTTAGAGGGATCTGTGATCTGCCTTGTTTTTCACTGCAAACACCAGCAGGATGCACTCAACCCCATGCCATGTTGGGGAGAGGGCGTGCCCACGAGACTGGAGAAGTGGCATTTTACCACACATCTTTGACAGGAGCCCAAGTGCTGATCCACGGGAAGGAACCACATTAGCTGACATCCCAGCAACATTGAGTGCCCAGTGTAAAGCTGCTCTTCAGGTTGAGAGCAGGACTTGCTATAAAGCAAATGCACAGATGGAAGCAACGACTTCTTTTAAACTCTAACCTAAGTTCTCTTCCCCATCTCAGTTTCCCTGACATTAGTGTTTGCACTTGTACTTGCCATTTTTCAGTACACAAGTAGCTGAAGCAATTTATCACTGCTCCAAACCAAGACCACCAGCCTCCAAGCAGGCACTAAAAATGGCAAGTGTAGGGGCAGGGCTGACAACAACATTCCCATCAAAGAGCAGGCAGCAAAATGGGAGGATGTTCCTCTCTGGGGGATCAGCTGCAGCCAGCCTGTGGAGCTGGATCCCGAGGACAGCTTCTCCTCATGGTGTGAGGGGCGACACCTTGGTCATGTTAAAGTCTACCCGCACATAGCTAAAGGTGTGGAAATGATTTGACTTCACTTGTTCTCCAAACTACAATATCTGCTAACTCCAGCAAACATTGCATTTTGGTTTACACTACACGAGCACACTGATTTTCCAGAGTTACTTAAAACAGAGCCAGTGAAACTCTGAAAACAGAGAGCCTCTGCTATGGATGAGAGATCTTATTTCAATGCAAGGCTGAACTTGCAGAAAGTGTCCAGGGTCAGTCCCTGGTGGGAGTGCGGACAGCATGGGCAAGGCTGTTTTCCCCAGGCACACTGCCCGCCACCTTGGGCTGGCCGGGCAGAGAGGCCCAGGTAGCCTGGAGCTGGCCCAGCTCTGCCTCCAACCCACCACCGAGCTGCCTGCTCTGTCACCAACAGCCCTGCAAAGCTGCCAAGGTTCATCCCTCCTAAGAGCCATTACATGAAAGACGGTAACCTCCAGCAGCTGGAATTTGGGATTTTACAGGGCAAGGAAAGACAGCAGAGGAAAAGCCCCAACTCAGGCTAACGAGAGCCCCAGCAGCCAGTCCAGTGCCCTCTCCTTGCCCGTGCTCGGCAACAGGGTGCCCCAGGAGCAGCTGTACCTCTTTAGCCATGAAACGTAGCTTTGCCAGGATCCTCCTTGTCTCCTTAACCTTCTCCTTGACATTGGTTCGAGTCAGCCGCCGCCTCACACGGAGTCCCTGCTTTGCACACAGGATCTGAACAGAGAGCATGGCTGTCACACACCCAGCCGTGACCCAGGCATGCCAGGCTGGCATTCCTCACAGGGGCTCTGCAGGGAAGCACCCATGTGCTGATCACATCCATCCTCCCCCATCGCACCCCGACCTCTACCACAGCTTGCCCCCCAGCTGCTGAGAGCAAACTTCCATGAACCTGTCGCAAGCCATTTAGTGAAGCGTGCTAAGAACTGGAGACTCCAGTAGCTCATCAGCTCTGCCAATACCAGCTGGTAAAAGAAGTCCATTAGCTTTTGCATCACTTGGGGCAGAAAGATGTATAAGGAATAAACATTTCAGAAGCTGGTGGTCTAAGGCTCTAGATAGTGCCTGGAGGAGGCTTTGCACAAGGAGCAACTTGGGGCCACAGAAGTGTGGGAATACGAAGATGCAGGAAACTGGGAGATGGGGCTGTGCTTTCATGTCCATTAGTTGTCCCTCTCCAGGGACAGGCAGATGAATGCCTGTTGTAGATCTGCTGGATGGGTACCCAGCCTATGGGCTGAGTTTCCAGGAGCAGTGGGTCTCGGTGAGCTCCCCCAAAACTGCCTGCAGGTATGGCTTGCACCAAAAGGCCTCCAGCAACCTACCGGGCATAAACACGCATGTGCTCAGCCACACGTGCCCCACAGGAGAGGAAGGATGGCATCAGGACATCTGCATAAATCTGAAGGCAGCCATGGCCAGTCCCTGCCTTTGTTCCCTGTGCTGGAAGCTGTATTGCTCTAAGCAGAGGTGTGAGATGCTGCAGTAAAAGCCTATGACTGATACTATGAGCCTGCGGCCCAAATTTCCTTCTTAGCATCAGTTCTAGCTGGTCCTCCAGAAGCATCCTTCAGAGCAGGGAGTGCATGGGCTCCTACCACCACCACCAAGTCCCACAGCTTACGATGTTGCGCATCAGGTATTTCATCCAACATCTGTCAAAGTTGTTTGGATGTGCCATTGTTTTTCTCTCTGCACTGAGTGAATATTGCCTGCAATGAGAAAAGCAGCACAGGCTTTGCATCTGCTGCACCCAGCAGGCAGAGCACAGCTCACACAGCAGGGGCACAAGCTCCAAATCCCTAGTACTAATCTGAATGCATCAGAACCCCCCCTCTGCAATGCCTTCTCTTCTACAAGCTTTTTGATTTGGAAGGTATCCTGGGGATTGGTCAGCATCTGAGAATCCCTCTCTACTGTTGCCATCCCAAGGCTGGGGACTGAAACGTGTATCAGACCCCACTGGGCCATCACAGTGATTGAAACACAAGTCTCTTGTCTGTGCAACTGAAGAGAGTGAAGGAAACGTCCTAACATTTAGGAAACATGCAGGAGTCCAGTAACATCGAGGCTGCAGCCTGTGACCCTTATGCTTCCCAGGACTGGGGTCTCCTCTCCAAGCTTGAAGAGCTACAGGGTCCTTTCCCCAGGTCATCCTGGTTTTCTTCCATTCATCCATCTCAAGAGGACAAGAGAGGAGGCTATGCACAGCCCAGGCAGAACATGATACAACCTCCTAACTTGAAAATAAGAAACCCTGGGAAATCAGGGACATGCTAACCTGCATCCAGCCACAAATTCCTCCAGCACCTCTCTGAGCCGTTCTTCTGCTTTAGCCTTTGGTCTTCTCATGAGCTTCTCCATGTCATCCAGCCCCTGTTCCTGTGGGGAAAGCATAACATTCCGGGAGCTTGTGCCTGGTTGCAGGGTCAGAGTGAAACACTGCAAAGATGCATTTGCCACAAATTACTTGTGCCCTTCTGCAGAGCTGGGGATTATGAGAGTGCTGCAGGTCAGCGCTGTGCTGCCAGGGACTCTTTGGAGCCTGGGGATAACATTAACACTGGTTGTTAAGACATCTTGTGCCTCAGTCCTTGAGCAGCAACTGAAACACACTGGCAAGCTCTGCTTGGATCTCTAAGTCCAAAAGGGAAAGACGAGGCCCTGGGAAGAGACTGCACCCTCCTGATGAGAATCCAAGGCTGAGAGTCTGCTTGCAGCAGCATCTCCCCAGTGCACACGCAACTCAGGACTGGCAGCAGAGAAGGTTTTTGTCACAGACGTCGCATCACTCACAGCTCCAGGGGACACCACCAGGCTGCAGCACAGCACAGGCAGCAGCTCTGCGCTCACTGCACTACCCTACACTTCTGAAGGGCACAGTGGGACTGAGCCCTGTGAGAGACATGGACTCACATAGGGTGTGAGGATATTTAAGGCAAACGTCTCGCAGAGCAACTGCGTATGCTACACGAAAAGCATACCAGGAAGGACTGTGCTACAGACAGACACCCTGAACACGCTACCAGGCGCTCTGCCAGCTTGACGATCCAGTTGGAAATGCAGAGTCTCCAGGTGTGATCCTCACAGTAGCTCCATACATACACGCAGGGTTTCTTATGCTTCATGGGAAGGCAGCTGTATGACCTAAGGGCAGCAGGCACAGAAGGTTATGGCTGCTGTTTGCAGAAAGCATCTGCCGTGTCACAACACAGCACTTGCACACCCAGCACAGGGAGTAGTGTCTGGGCCCTGTCCACCTCACCAAGAAATAGCTGTTTTGAGCCCTGCACCACAGACATGGAGTCAAGCTGCTGGATCTGCCTTTTGCCATCCCAAACTAGCGCACAGGGTTTCTAACAGAGAGCAGCACATGCCCAGATGAATGAGTTGGATGCTGCTGAGGTTTCTTGCTGCTATGGGACTGAGTAGTAGCAGGCACAGGGCTCTCAGCACAAACACAAAGACATTGCCAGGCCTGTGGGACAAACCAGGCAGCATTCCCAGAGCAAACACATCATCAGAAGAGCTTGTCTATGTGTCTTGCCTGCCCAATATAGGACAGCATGTGCCAGAATACTCCTCCCCTTCCTCCTCACTGGAATCAAGCCCTTAGAATGCTGCTTGTTAACCAGAAAAGGGACTGCTGTTATTGATTGGTCAGAGTTTCCCTGGGACCCTGTCCTTGGCCACCTGCACACATCAAGCAGACATTGTAGAGCCTGTAGGGGTGATGGGCAATGGCAGCCAGCTAGGCCATGGCAAACTGCAGGGTTGCAAAGAAGAAAAACACCTGCACAGCACTCACATTGCTGAGCAGACCTCTAATAACATCTGGAATAACCAACCCAGGAAGCTGGGGCAGGACCAGGGCACGTGGCAAAGAAGGACAAAGACGACTCACTGGTCATATTCCGTGGGCTCTGGTCTCTGGCTCTTTGTCACCGACTTGTTCAGTGCTGCTGAAGCTGGGGCCAGGACTTCAACATCCAACTCACTATCTGAACCAGGGTCCAGCAGAAGCTGCTTTTCTTCTTTCACTTCTCCCTTTTCCACTTTTCTCCATACCTTGGTCACAACTTCTTCAGCTTTGCCATAGTTTCCTTGAAGTTAAGCATTAAACAGTAAAAAGATAAGTAGGATCACTGTTAAATGAGTTTGCTACCTTGCAACCATCCTGCCAAGAGAAGCACATGGGCACGCACTGCTTTTGGAACAAGCAGTTCAGTAGCATCCAACCATCAGATCATCACATGGACAACCAGGAGGTCTGAGAGGGAGCTAGGTAATTGCAAGGAAGTCCTTGTGTACGCATTCAACTGCCACCAGTTCCACCAAGTGCCTGCTAACTGTCATCTACACCCTGACACTGGGGTCAGCAGCAGTAACTCAGGAAGACTTCTCAGCATCAAGCACCTCCACCCATCCAGCTTAGCAGGTGGGGGCTTGGACCTGCTCTCCTGCCATTGTTTCCCCATCACCAGCTGTCACAGCCCCTCAGCACTACCTGGCCAACCCCAGTATCCCAGCTTCCCCTCCTTTGCTTCCCTTTCTTGCTCTCAAACCTTTCTACCTCTTCTGACCCCCACTTCCCAGCAGAGCTTCAACCACTCTCCCCAAACAGGCAGTTCATATAAATACCGCAAATCTCCAATCCCATAGGAAAGCATCCAGGCTTTTAAGGTAATTAAAGCACTGTGCGTACTCCCTGGCCTCATCCCCCATCCTTCCCAAGTTCCTGTTTTGGAGGCACCAGCTGTGCAAGGGCTGGCAGCTTAGAACCGCAGTGCTGACTTGGGCTGTTAGAAGGAGATTCACACTTCCCATAGTTTCTGGACATGGAGCCCTGGGGAATACCCACCTATGGAGACTTCAATGCTGACAGACTTGGAGCTGAGAGAGGAGTCCATCATAGTGGCTTCAAAGAAAGCAGCGAAGAGAAGGAATTCCTCCTTCCTCCCCAGTGCGTTCTGAGCAAGGAGACAGTAATCAGCCCGAGAGCCTTGTGTGCTAAAACACTGCCTCAGCAGAAATTCAGAGCACACCAGGGCATGGCCAGTACATCAGTGGGATGCTGCTGAGGTCACCACCGCTGGGCCACCAGATGTGGGACAAGTTTTCTTGGAAATAATGTGGGGCTGGTGCAGAGCTTTGGCTGATGCTTGTGTGAAGCCACAGAGCTTGTAGGCTAAGGGATGGCTATGGTACCAACACAGCTGCATCTTGCCTGCCTCTCACAGGCAAAGTAGAGACCCAGAGCCAGCTAACAGCTCCCTAACTCCAGGGGAGAAAAAGTACATGCTCAAAGGCAGCTATGCCCTGGGAATAACACCCACGTGAGAGTCTTCCCTGCGCCAGGAAGGCAGCACATGTGGGGATGCTACAACCTGACCATGGGAGTGTTTTGGGGCTGCGGGTGTGGCCTCAGCCCTTGCAGAGGCTCAAGGAGCTCTGGATGGGCCAGCAAGGGGCAGGCTGGGTTTGCTTCAGCACTGTTACACCAAGTGATCCCACTGCCTCTTCCCCATGAGGCCTGTGCACACCACAGGCCAGCATGGGTCAGCCATGCCAGTACATCAGGACTCACCTCGGGGAGTGGATGAAGCTCCTCCACCTCCACAGTGACCTCCCCAGGCTGTTCAGCCTCCTGAACGTCCCCAGCCTCCTTCTCTCCTTGCAGCTGCCTCAGTTCTTTGGCTTTCTCCTTGGATTTCTTACTTTTCTTCTTCAGCTTCAGTTTGCTCAGGGCACCTTTTGTCTTGTCCCCAAGCTTCCTCTCTGTCATGCTGGGGCTACTGAAGATTTCCACTGTGATGGCCATGAGGATGCGCCCGCGATAGAAGACCCCTTCACCCATGCCCTCATTGAGGTCTTTGTGGATGTCCCGCAGAGCTGAGTTCTGGGGGGAGCCATACAGGTTCACCCAGGCTGGGCCAAATGTGGGGTTAAAGCCTGCAGTGACAGGGAGAAGTTCTAATTACACCACAGGGAAATGCAGAGAGACCTTCCCCCAGGAAGACAGCCGAGGACACGGGGATGCGAGCATGCTTTGGCCACTCCCGCTTCCCACCTCCAGGAGACCACCATGGCTGAGCAGAGGGTACATGGCAAGGGGCTGCCCAGGACACCCTGCCACAGAGGCAGCCGTGTCAGGCCTCACCATTCCTGCCAGGGTCCGAGATCTGCTGCAGGTCAATGTAGTGTGTAGCGATGGCCACATCACCAACATTGGCATCATCCAGCACCTGGACTTTTATCTTCCTGGCCAGAGGTGGGAACATCTCGATGAAGCTGATCTGCTCGTTCCACTCAGGTTTAGTGGTGTTGGTCATCACTGATGTTTCCCCCTGGGAAGGAGAAGATGTGAAAGCAACGCAGTCCCAGTCAGCGGCCAGAGCAAGGGATGCCTCAGAGCCTCTCTGGGAACGGCATGTCCTCCCGTCCCACCTGCAGATGGTGCTGGGCAAGCTCTGGAGGTGGCAGTATCCCTGCTCCTGCCCCCATTCCAGCAGTTGCTCACTGTGCTTCATGAAGCAGGGCTGTCCAAAGGCCAGGGAAACACTGGAGGTAAGTGGGCAGCACCACCAGACCCAGAGGTGTCACAGGGTCCCCTGGGAGCACCCCCAAGCACACAAGGCTGCCAAGGGAGTGATTCTCATCTTAATGGATGTCACAGGACCAGAAACCCTGGCCTTGGGTGCAAGATAAGTGCCAACAGCTCAGTAAACTCTCCAGAGGGTGTCAGCCTGAGTCCAGCTTGCCACAGAGGACTTCAGCTCTAGGATTTATTTGACCCTCTCCGTATGTTTAGGGACATGAAGTCTCTGTCTGCACAGTCAGTAGCTCAGCCAGTGGCTGTGCTCAGGGCTGGGGCTGTCCCCCATGCAGCTCTCTGCAGAAACAAAAGCCCCATAAAAGCCTTCTCATCCAGACACCGCACGTTCATGGCCACATGGCTCAGGACACTGCCAAAGACAGCAAGACTCCGCACGTTCATGGCCACATGGCTCAGGACACTGCCAAAGACAGCAAGACAAGGAAGGCCCTTTGATCAGGGACAGATGGCAGGACAGATGCCTCTGGCTGGAAAACCTGGCTGGTACTGGTACCCTTATTTTGCCCATCACTGCCAGCATCTACATGCAGAAGCGCTGGGTTGGACCAGTTACTGACGAAGGAAAAGAGGAGGACATACTTACCGAGATCTCTATGAGTCTGTGCAATAAAATGTCCCTTGGCTCATGGAATTCAAATAAAAAATACTGAAAGAGAAGAGCAAGACAGCTGAGGCCCAGGCTCCCAACATGGCCCCACAAGCACCTCTGCTTGAGAACAGCTGCATCCCGAGCATCCTTGCAAGGATGGCCCCAGCTACTGGGGACACCAGTATGGCAAGGACAGAGCCTCTGTCTGTATCACATACTTTGTTGTAGAAGGGGCAGTTTGTTGACTTCTGCGTTGCTGTGCGCCTCTTCTCCTCTCCAACCTTGACTACCACAAAGGGGTTAATGTTCACCCCCACCAGCTTCTGCGCTTCAATGATATTAATCCCAACCTGAGAAAATGCGGGAGAAAACCTTCGTTTCCAGCTCCATCTTGAGCTTGTTTCAGCAATACCAGTACGCAAAAGTGCAGGGCCCTCTTGCCACAGGGGTGGATGCTCGGGGCAGGCAAGAGCACAGCTGCTGAAATCTGCTATGGTCAGGACAAATCAAAATGGTATTTGAGACATTTGTTTCTTTCAGACAAGAAAGGAAATGAAGCGTTAAATTCCCAGCACCTTTGACAAGTGCAGCCTCCACAGCAGTACCGTCCCCACTCAGTTCCTGGTCCCAAGGGGATGCAAACCCACTGCTCCCACATGGTGGGGTCCACAGAGCATCTTGAAGAAGATGCTCTCTGTATCTTCTGTCAATACTTCTCTTTGAAACCTACTGAGATGGACATCATTGGAAATACTGGAATGTGGCTGTCTCATTTGCTGTGACTGGTTACAAGCGTAAAACACGGGAGAAATGTTCTCACGTTTGCTCTCAGTACAAGCAACTAGGCAGTTGTTAAGGTGAATAATAGCTTCAAGAAAAGGAAATTCCACTCCCAGAAAAGCTTCCTGGTTGGTCAATAGGACCCAGCCCTGAAAAGCAGGAGACCCAAACGTGAGTCCACGTTTACATAGAACCACATTTAAATCCACAGCCAGGCTGGGAGACCTGCCCTGAAATATGCAGGGCAAAAGATGGGACTGAACTCCATTTCACAACTTCAGAGTGGTTTCAAACAAACCTCATGTCAGAGCATTGGCCAGAGCCGCAGCTTCATACCAGTCTCCCAACATCTCCAAGAAAGCCCCTGCAGCAGCCCTCCACCCCCAGCCATGTACCACAGATGTCCCTGGGGGCCCAGGCAAGGCCCTGGGGAAACAGGAAAGCACCAGTCCTGCCTGGATGCTCTCCCATGCTCTGCTCAGGCAGTGTTTTGCAGCGGCACATGCGGCTGTCAGGCTGATTCTGTTCTCCTATAGATCCATAGCTAACTACATGGCCCAAGAAGAAATTCTGTTCTGGACTGGCTGATGTTGGAGCCATGGATGCAGTCTGCTCAGGGAATCTCACACCTTGCCCAGGGAAGCCACACAAACCAAGAAGGTATCTTCATGATAGAAGCCTCGCCGCAGTATGTGGCAACTGGAGAAGCCCAGGCCCGCAGCAAGGCAGCGAGGGACCAGAGGCAGCTGCAGGGACGCGCACCCGACGCTGCAGTACCTGGAAGCTCTGTGGGGTTGGGGTGGCAAACAGGTCCCATGTGGAGCAAAGTCTGGAGCGGCTGCACAGAAAAACAACCTGAGTGAGCAGGTCCCTTCATCTACATGGACCTGAGCAAGCCCCCACCAAGGGAAGCGACAGAAAGCCTTGCAAATAGCCCCTTGCCCTGGGAATGAGCAAATTCCCAACAGTCCCTGTTTGGGGCCATTGGAGATTGAAGGTTTCTGACATTTTGCAGAAGCAGAATGCCAAGAGATGTAAGATGCCCCCAGAAATCACCCCATGAGCTGGCACTTTCCACTCCAGGGCCCAAGCAGGGGCAAGAGAGAAGACCACGCCGTGGTTACCTCTTCACAGGGCTGAAGACAATGCCCGAGACCTCCATCTCAGACACATCGTAGAAATCTTCTTCCTCCTCCTCCTCTTCCTCATCTGTCTCCAGGCCTTTTGCCAGCTTCCTGCCCAGCGTGACAGCCCTCCAGTCCAGTTCTCTTGCTCTTGGCCCCTCGGCTGCCCTGCAAAACCCCCCACCATGCCACAGGCCGCATCATCAGCCCTGATGAGCAGGTTGTCCATTCCCCTCCACCCGCAAGGGTGAGCTGATACACTCAAGTACGGCTACTTACTCCAGCTCCTCAAATCCAGGATTGCGGATGATTAACTCTGAACTGTAAGAAAAAGAGATGCTTTGCTGAAAAACAAGTGTGTTGAGGCTGTTCACCGATGCATTTAAGTAACAGGGCCACAGCCATGCTTCTGCTTGGCTCTTGGCAGGGACATGAGCATCCTCCTAAGCGACGCTTTTCCACTGTCCACCCTGTGTGCCCAGTGCTTTGCATCCAGAAGCGACACTCCCCAGACCTTGCTGCTGCCTGTTATCCTGCCCACCCAGACACCCGCATCTCCCCCGGCTTTGGGCGCCACCTGTGTGCAAGGTGCTTGGGGTTGCTACAGTCCAAAGCCACGTTCTCTGCACCTTTGCAACCAAGAAGTCTTTCTCCCATCAGCCAGAAAGGCTGCAGAAATGCTCCAGAGTCCGAAAGGACTTCCAGGGTGCAGTGGGTTGTTGCAGTGACAGGCCTTCTGTGAAGACAAGGTATTTTCTGCCCAAGAACCCTGCTCACTTATTGCCACTGTAGAGCAGAGATGCATCAGCCTGGCCAGAGGTAGAGAGTAAATGAGGCTGGATTACATCCCAAAGGCTGCCACTGGCAAAGGCAGCTGTACAAGATGCCTGGAAATTTGCCCCTCCCAGGATTTCAATACCTGTCTTTCATTCGATAGACAAAGTCCTCTTCAACCCAGGTCCCAGCTGAGCCATCTGGAGGCTGGTAGTGCAAATCCAACTCAATGTAGATCTACAAATAGAAAATGAAATTGCCTGAGAGCTTGGCTGCCACAAAACAACCGCAGAAATGTCACGGAAAAGGGGAAGGGGAGCGTGAAAGAAAAAAAGTGAGATGCTGGTGGAAAGAAGGGGAAGGAAGGGGGTCACAACCCCACAAGAAGCCTATTTATACCATACTCTACTTGTCTGCCTCCATCAATTAACCAAACTCCCTCCCCTACAGCTTCTCAAACTCCAGGGTTCACCAAATAAAAGCTGGCTCAAGTTTCCAAATCTAAAATACACCACAGAGAGGCCCCTGAGAGCCATCTCAGGGCAATTTTGACAAGGAAAGTGGGGAGAGCCCGGCAGCAGAGCAACCTAACATGCAGGGGTTCGGAGCAGTCTCTCTGTGGGAGGCACAATGCAACTGGCAGACCATCCCCAGGCATGTCAGCTTGGTTTAAAACACCACAGGAGCCATAAGCACACCCAGAGTCTGCATCACAAGAGACATCAATTTAGCATTAGTGATGAAGAAGAACAGCCAGAGAAGTATGGGGCATGTTTGGTATCGGCACAGCCAGCACGGGTCTGAAAACCCTTTGTCTGCAGGTGACCAGCCTGATCTCAAACCAACACAAATGCACGAGAATTTCCCAGCAGAGGCCAAAATCGCAGCCATGGAGGAGGTCGCTTCATAGTAGGTTGAAGGGGATGTACAAGCTGGGTTGACAGCTCAGTCTCTGGAAAACACCTGTTTCTGTGAGGAGAAATAATCCCAAGAAAGCAGTAGTACTAGGAAAGGCAGGATGGATGCAGAAGCCTGAGATAAAGCTGGGTGAATATCTGAGGCTCTGAAAAAAAACCACCTTCAAACCACCAGGAGAAAAAAGGGTGCAAATAATTCAAGTCCCAGAGAAGAACAGGACTTGGAATAGCAGGAAGGAAGTTCCTACTTTGCTAAAGGAGCAGCAGCTGAAACAGCCTCTCTCCCATGGGGACGTGTCTCTTTCCGGCTGAGCTGAGGGAGGGGGGTCTCAGGCTGCCCCTGGATGGGTGTCCAGTCTTGCCTGCCCTATTTCAGTCCCCCACAGCCCTTGTGCAGCCCTTGTTGCACAATCAAAAACTAACCTGGCAAAATGGAATGTGGTTGGTTTTGGGTTGGAGCAGCTCATCAGCGTGACTGCTGCTGTTAGCGCAAGGGAAGAGAGGCAGCCAGGGGCAAAGGGCTGGGCTGCAGAGCAGCTCTGACCTTACAGTGGTGTAAGTGCCTGCACCCCTCTCCCCTCAAACCATTGCCAGCATGGAGTGCTGCTAAAAAGTCAGTCTAGTCCCTGTCTCTTTGCTGGCACAAACGTTTATGCAGTGAGCTGCATCGGGCTAAAAATCACCCTGGAAATGCTCAGTTTCCACCTGGACGTGCTCCCTGATCCAGCCAGCTCAGCAATACAGGAAAGCTGTGCTTACACCACTCAGACTTATGGTCTGGTGGCCACGGAGCTGCATCCCATGTACCACCACGAGGGTGAGACAGGTTGCCCCTGGGAAGGGCAAAACGGGGCACAGCACATCACAGGGCTGCCTGCCTCTGCCTCTCACAGAATGGTCAGGCTAGGAAGGGACCTCTGGAGATCATCTAGTCCAACCCCCCTGCCAGAGCAGGGGCACCTACAGCAGTTGCACAGGACGGTGTTCAGGCAGGTTTGGAATGTCTCCAGAGTGGGAGACTCCACAACCTCTCTGGGCAGCCTGTGCCAGTGCTCTGCCACCCTCACAGGAAAGAAATCCCTCCTCAGGTTTAGATGGAACTTCCTATGCTCAAGTTTGTACCCATTACCTCTTGTTCTATCACTGGGCACCACTGAAAAAAAGACTGTTCCCATCCCCCTGGCACCCTGCCTTAAGTATTTATAAATATTGATAAGATCCCCCCTCAGTCATCTTTTTTCCAGACTGAAAAGCCCCAAGTGCCTCAGCCTTTCCTCAGAAGAAAGATGCTCCAATCCCCTGATCATCTTTGTAGCCCTTTGCTGGACCCTCTCCAGCAGATCCCTGTCCTTCTTGAACTGGGGAGCCCAGAACTGGACACAATACTCCAGATGCGGCCTCACCAGGGCAGAGCAGAGGGGGAGGATGACCTCCCTCGACCTACTGGCCACACTCTTCTTGATGCACCCCAGGATGCTATTTGCCTTCTTGGCCACCAGGGCACATTGCTGGGTCATAGTCATCCTGTTGTCCACCAGGACTCCCAGGTCCTCTTCCACAGAGCTGCTCTCCAGGAGGTCAGCCCCCAACCTGTACTGATGGGGGTGTGATCTGGGGTTATTCCTCCTCAGATGCAGTACCCTACACTTGCCCTTGCTGAATTTCATTAGGTTCCTCTCTGCCCTTCCTCTCTCCTCCTCCCGGCCCTGCCAGCAGCCCTGGCACCGAGCCCTGGTTGTCCAGCACTCACTGAACCATGCCTGCACACCCAGCTGGCAGGAAATGGCTCATTTTTGGGTCGTGTTCATCTTCCACCAGTACAAAGGGCCCAGCGAGCCCTGGCGCCAGGGCAGGAAGGGAGTGGGACCCATGGTGCAGAGCAGAGGGGCAGGCAGGTGTCAGAGCTACTCACGATACCCCAGACCATTGTTAAGCCACCCAGTCAGCACTGGTGTTTAAACCAAAAGCTCACCGGGGTACTAAGGCACCCTGCCACCTTCAGCCTTACCCCATCAGCTCCCCTCTGCTTTGCACCCTGCAGCATCCCGTGCCCACGCACTGTGTGGTGTGGGAAGCAGATGAGATACCACCTCCTACATCCATCATCCAGGGAGGTTTCACTAAGCCTCTCTCTGCTCATTCAGGCCCCCAGCAAGTCTCCAGGGCCCCCAGCCTACGCCACGTACTTCTGGATGCTCCTAGAACCACTTGATGGGTGTAAAGTGAGGGCACTCCTGTGTCCACACAGGGGCACAAACGCCACAGCACTCCCAGGCTCAAAGCGGCACCTTGGACTCGCTCCCATCCTCTTGGGAAGTGCCACACAAGGTTTCCCACAAAGCCTTCCTGATGGCTGATGGCCAGGCTGCCCGCGGAGGACTTACGCCAGTGACTCTGTGGTTCCTGTCGATGAGGGCCTCCCGGAGGATCAGCCTCCCAGATGTCATCAGGTGCTGAAGGCTGAGGACAAGGGTACCGAGAAGCCTGGAACAAAACCAGAGGCTGCAGCAATACTGTATGGATCTTCAGTGCCTGTCTCCTGGGGGAAGAACGTACCAGGATCTCTGCTCTCCTGCCCACAGCCCCTCTGAGCTGTGGTGAAGGCAGTGAACTGCTGCAGTACTTCCCATAGGGAGTCTGGCAGCCGAAATACCCGAGACCCACTGCCTCTGCAGCAGGTCGCGCCTCCACCCATCATGCCTCAGCAGCTGCTTGCAACCGAGCTGCCATTGACAGCTAAAGGCTTGTGCCAATGAAATCCCACCGAGTGTGAGGGAGCTCTCCCCTTTGGCAGAGCAGGGCTTCACGGGAGCCAGCCTGTGACTGTGCACCCGGCGGAGCTGAGGGGACTCTTCCCAGACAAAACTGGGAAGCAGAGGCTCCACACAAGGAAATACAGAAAGAGGACATAAAGCCGCGCCCACAGGGATGTCTGCAGCAAGTCAGGCCAAAATTTATCTGTTCCAAGGGGACTTCTCCCTGGGGAAGGGTCATCTGGCTCCCTGCAAGTGGCGGTAACGCATGGGGGATCACATTCAGCTGGTCCTAACCCCACCTCGTGGTACTGCTGTGGTACAATATCCGTTTGTACATTGGCCTTCGTCTCCCCGTGGCAGCTCTTCCAGCAGCTGAGCTAACCCCCTGCGAAGCAGAGCTTCCTACTGCCTGCTGTAAACCATTGGAGCATTTCACTGCCTGCCCGGGCCGAGACAGGATAAATCATTCCCCAGTCACCTCCATTTCAGCTGTAAGCTGCTGATCTCTCACATTCCCCCTCACCTCCCTCTCCTCTGAGACGCGGAGCCTGTCTAGTCTCCTACCCCCAAGGAAGGAGTCTCTCCACTCATCCCCCTCCTCTCCAGCTTTTCCAGCTCAGTGCTGCTGCCACAGAAAGGCTGCACACGCAGAAGTTCAGAGACCACAGATCAATACAGTGGTGTAACAATTTTTTCCCTTCTGTCCTTTCACGCTATTTATTTTTGCTCATCCCAGTGATGACCAGCAGCTTTTAAACTGTAATGCTGTCACCTGCCATTCCTCTGCTCCCCAGCAGAGGAGGTGTGTGGATAGATGCTGCCAGTGCCAGTCCAGTCATTTCCCATTTACTTTTTTGCTCAGCGCCATCAGGTCCTGGTGATTTGTTACTGTTTGTTTTATCTGTTTGTCCTATAGCAGTTCCTATTGTCATCTCAGTCAGGAACAATTCCTCTGATTCAGCTCCCGTAAGGAAAGCACCCAGTAAACGCAAGTTTACTGGACACAAAGTTCAGCCACATTTTCTGCTCTGGCTTTATCTTTTAAGTGTCTCACATGTGCTGTACTCAATGGTTTCCTCCACACCCTCTCTAACAGGCTTATGATGGCTTTGAAAAGGTTTATATTCTTAACTGCCTCTAGAAACGTGTTCCTGTCAATTTTCCTTCAGTTCTTACATTTTGCTTGTCAGAGCTGGCACCTTTCCCTGCATCCTCATGTTTCACAGGTCCTGGAAAGACATGTCTCTGCTCCCTTGCTTCCTCCACCACCACTGTCACCTCTACTCTCAGGTTTCCCCAAAGCACTTTACAACTGCTGGAATAACTGCTCAGTTCACAGTGTTGCATCTGTGCCACGTAGAAGCATTTTCAATTCTGGCTGATCCTTTAAATTTAAATTGCTGTCTTTTTTAAAGGTTAAACCATACTCCCACGGGCTTGGGGCTTTTGCCCACTGATAGGTTTGTTGAATTTGGGTGCAGCGTGGTCACGGTCACCAGGTGGATCTACAGGGTGAGAGCAGGGCCCCATTCTGCTGCAAGTCCTGCCTTTGCAGCTCTATTTTTTAGGGCCTGTTTTACCTTTGTCCCACCTGGGGGTCTGATCTGGATCCCTAGGTACTCTCTGTTATTGCTGGCACAATTAAATCTAACTAAGCCTTATTTAACTTAACTTATACAGCACTGCTGCCTTACCAGAACAAACAGCTCCATCTCTCTTCTGTAACTTGCACCCTGCTCATCTCCCTTCCATCAAATTTCCAACAAAAATTTTCTACTCCCAGTAGAAAATTTAAAGCCCAGTATGTCTCTTCCCCCACCTCTGCCAGTCACCCCAGCAACCAGAGGACCTACCTGTTGCTGAAAACCTTGCTGCAGTTGTAAACCTTAATAGACAGCTTTTCTCCCATGACGAGCTTCCCATAGTGAGGCCAGCGAAAGAGCTACAAACAAACAGAGCAGGAAGAGATGACAATTCATTCCCAGCCACGCTTTCCCATGTTTGGTGACTGCGTGGTCTCCTCTGCAAGGTGACTGAACCAAGGAGCATGACAAAAAGCTGCTGCGGTGGGAAGTCACTTTCCTGCTGGCCAGAGCAGACCCTGGAACAGGGAATGGAGAAAGGATGTTGAGGGGAGCCAGGGCCCCTCCAGCAGTACAGACTAAAGAAGCCAGAGCATTGCTGCCGCTCTGGAAGGAGGAAGATGCTTGTGCCTGCTGGCGGGCCGTGGGGTGAGACGCGGCGTGGGAAGGTGCAGAGGTGCTCGGGGAGAAAGAGCTCACCCGGGGCAGGGAACCACCAGGCTCGGGGACGTGGGGAAGCTGTGCCCGCGGCTGCGGTTCACCTGACGGCAAACCGACCGCTGCCCTGCGGCTGGCCAGAGGGACAGGTGCCTCCTCCCCGCCCCAGGCGGCAGCGGCGGGGCGGGACGGGACAGGACAGGCCTGGCCGGGCCGCAGA